CCCACAGTCCTCTTCCTCCTCCTCCTCCTCCTCCTCCTCCTCCTCCTCCTTCTAGTTTGGGCCATAAAACATCTGCAAGAAAACCACCAAGGTCAGAGAGCATGAAGGACCCCACAGCCCTCCTCCTCCATCTTAATTTCTTTGGCTTATCATTTCTTATTCCTTTATGACAACATTTCCTAAAATGTCTTTTCCCAGAGGGAACAGTGTGATTACCTGGATAAAAGGCTAAATGATTTCTGCCTTGAACAAAGACAGATAGCTGGCAGTTTTTTTAAAAAAACAAACAAACAAACAAACAAACAAGAAAACTTTTTAATCTCTATGGTTTTGTTGCATTTTCTTTGAAAAGGGAACATGTGGTGTGGTGTCTTACAGCAATCATTAGACAACCGTGCTTTCCCCCCCCTTTTTTTTCTTTCAAAGTTCATTTTAAACTCGGCTATAAATCAGATAAACTCTTGAGTAATCCTACAGCCTTTAAAAACTCATGGATGAATCGAGGTGGACTGTAACTTACAATGGCTGCTGATAACCTGTTGTCTCAACTCTGCCAGGTTCTGCAAATTTACAAAATAGAGATAATAGATTGCAGAATGAGGCTGGGGGCAAAACCTTTCATTGTGTTTAATCATTAGAGCATAAGCAAAAATCTGCTGCAAACTGATTCCAGGTAAAAAAAAAGGTTTCAAATCTCTGTATTTATTTCCCAGCCCAGTTAATGAAGTCCTAATTCAATCCTTGTCCTTTACTTGGCCCAGTCCCTGCTGCCTGCTGAGATTAAGAAAAAAACAAAACAAATATATCTCTACATATTTAATTTGTATAACAATGTGTTTGTGTCTCTTTCTCTGTGTGAAAAGTTTCTAAGTATGACTGCTATATTGAGTTTCTCTTAGCAAATCCTTCTTTTTCTATTGGAATTTAAAAGCTGCAAATGAGATATTATCTTTCTCAAATATAATTTTTTTTAATATGTATTATGAAGAACGTTGGATCTTGACCAAGAGAATGATTTTATGTAAGGAGAGCATATTATTCTTTTGATGTATTTAATTTTTGAAATATCTTTATAATTCTGCAAATGAGAAGAAGAAAGATGTTTTCTATATGGCTTTAATTAGGAATTTAAATCTTAATTACTCTTTTAAGGATATTATGTTTACTGGCCTTCTTTCTTATTTTTCTCCTTGTAGTTTTCTTTAATCATTGCAAATGTTTGTCAGAGTATTTTTTTTAATTTACATTAAAGAATTTTCTCCATGTATGGAATGGATGCGTCGTTTTTTTGTTAGTTGTCTTTCACGAAGATATACCGTATCTTTTAGAAAAGGAAGTACATTTACTGCCCCTTTTTTCCCCTCCCAAAGATGATGAAGGCCAGCAAATTAAAAGACAAATATCTTTTACTGTTTTTATTGTAATTTCTTTTGCCTTTTAGGAGCCAACTTCAATTGTCGGAAGGTGGGAGGCATAAAAAGATCATTAAAATTATTATTATTATACAGAATGGACATTTACAGCTGTGTTTTATAATTTTTCTAAAGGCAGGACGAGTTGAGATCCAGGGAGCAATGAGGGAGGAGAAGCAATGTATTCACATAGAGAGGTTCTTTTTTATTTTAATTTTTTGTTTATCAAAATATAAAATACAAAGGAAAATGAAAATAATGGGAAAGTAAGGGAGGAAAAAGAGAAAAGTGAAGAGTAAAAGGGGAAAAAACAAAAAAAACTTCTGATTTTTTTTAGTATAGTACAGTAAGATACTAATGTACAGCCATATGTTGTATATAGTATACTACTACTACTACTACTACTACTACTACTACTACTACTACTAATAATAATAATAATAATAATAATAATAATAAAGTTGGAAGGGACCTTGGAGGTCATCTAGTCCAACCCCCTGCTCAGGCAGGTAACCCTATATCATTTCAAACAAATGGCTGTCCAGTCTCTTCTTAAAAACTTCCAGTGTTGGAGCATTCACCGCTTCTGGAGGCAGGTTGTTCCACTGGTTAATTGTTCTAGGTGTGTGTCATGTATGTGTTTCACTTTGAGAGCGGGCAACTAAATTTCATTTTTGATGTGTGCCGTTGTTCCCACAGTAAAAAAAATGACAATAAAGGTTATCTTATCTTATCTTCTTACTTTTATATGGTAATATATACAGTACATATACAGTATGTAAGAAACCTATCTAATCAGCAGAATCCAAAGTCAAAGTTTCATTTCCCCCCCCCTACATCACAAGCAAAGCCGCAAATTGGTTTCCAAGTGGAAATAGGAACGTCTTCTTTGGCTGATTGCAGCGTCTGGATGGGAGACCACCAAGAGAGAAAATTTCCAAAATTTCTCCCCAGGGAAATTTGCACAGGTGGCCGGATAGATTTTCTGTTCCAGGAGCAAAAAAATTACAATGGAAAAGACACCTCCTGGTTGAGGTGGGAGGGGGAAAGGGGGGGTCCTGGTCTGTATTCTTCCTTTTTCCTCACTTTTAGAGGTCCCAGGTCACCCCCAGCCCTGCAGAGCTGCAAAATCTGCATGCTCTTTGATACCGTTGATCCTTTTGCAGGGGAGAATTGCACCCATCCTTTCAAGCAAATGCCCCTGACTCTGCACAAATTGCTCTTCCAAGGATTTTTCCAACCTGGACCACTTTAAGAAGGGTGAACTTCCAAGTTCCAGAATTCCTCTCAAAGTTGCCCAGATTGTTAAAAAACCAAACAAAACTTATAAAATCAAGAACTGGATCTGTTTGTAATACCGGCTCCAACCAGGAGGGGGCAGCAGGGCACAAGCTACCCAGCGATAAAAGGCGCTTCAATTCGCGCTCTGCCGGTTACTATGGTAACCCGGTGTCGTCCCCCCCTTGGATAATCTTCCCCCTCGTGCGGAACGAAAAGAACGCGAGCCGCGGTTTCCGGGTGGGACGCTTTAAAAGAGACGGACCGAAAGGAGGGCATTTCCGGTCGGGGCTCCACGCGGGGAGAGCGGAAGGGAGCCGAGCCTGCAAAGACCGAGTCGAGGGTAAAGTTCGACCCGTGTCGGCGCGTTGTTTGAATGCGGGTTGGGACGTGGCGGGCCGGGCAGAGGCTGGCGCAGGTGCCGTCCTGGAAGGGCCCCGCGGGTGTCTCCCTCGCCGGGCTGAGTCCGTAGAAGCTCCAAGGGAGCCGTTAGAGCTTCTGGGCTCCTCACAGGGGCCGTCGGGATGCCTTTTATATATATATATGCTTTATGTGTGTGTGTGTGTGTGTGTGTGTGTGTATCTATAGCTATAGCTATAATCTGTCTATATCTTTATCATCATGTATCAATCTATCTTTGTCTATCTCTCACACATATCTGTCTGTCTATCTATCACCTCTATCTGTCTATCTCTAATCTGTGTCTGTCTACTGTATCTCTTATCTATCTTTATTTTCTCTATGTCTTTGTCTGTCTGTCTATCTCTATCTTTATCATCATCTATCTCTTTAATCTGTCCATCTCTCATCTATCTATCTATCTATCTATCTATCTATCTATCTATCTATCTATCTATCTATCATCATCTATATCTCCATTTCTCTCTCTCTATGTATCTACCATCACCATCTATATCTCTATCTATCCATCCATCTATCTGTCTGTCTGTCTGTCTATCCATCCATCTCTTATCTACCTACCTACCTTATCTATCTATCTATCTATCTATCTATCTATCTATCTATCTATCTATCTATCTATCTATCTATCTATCTATCTCTTATCTACCTACCTACCCTATCTGTGCATCCATCCATCCATCTATTTATCTATCTATCATCTATATCTCCATCTCTCTCTCTCTATGTATCTACCATCACCATCTACATCTCTATCTATCCATCCATCTCTGTCTGTCTCTGTCTATCCATCCCTTATCTACCTACCTACCCTATCTGTCTGTCTATCTATCTATCTATCTATCTATCTCTTATCTACCTACCTACCCTATCTGTGCATCCATCCATCTATCTATCTATCTATCATCTATATCTCCATCTCTCTCTATGTATCTACCATCACCATCTATATCTCTATCCATCTATCTGTCTGTCTGTCTGTCTATCCATCCATCTCTTATCTACCTACCTACCCTATCTATCTATCTATCTATCTATCTATCTATCTATCTATCTATCTATCTATCTATCTATCTATCTATCTATCTATCTATCTATCTATCTCTTATCTACCTAACTACCCTTCTCTATCTATCTATCCATCCATCTATCTATCTCGCTCTACCATTTTGTTTACAGTTTTATACAGTATAATTTATGTATAGTTTTATTTCTGCATATAGGGCGTACCAAAAGTCAGACCCCATAGGGAATTTATTATATAATGTGTATTACACATTCCAGTTGGTTGTCATTTTCTTCTGAACACTACCTTGCTGCTTTGACCCCTGGTCTTTGAATGTTCCTAAGTACAGCAAAAAAAAAATTATTGGGGGGAAAAAATCTTGCGATTTACCTGTAGGGCTGTGTGTGTGATATACAGCCCCGAAACGTGGTCTTTTTTGGGCATATCCTAAATATATGTAGATATGAAAGTAAATTGATATACAGTATATCTTTCCTAACCTAAGTGTGGAAATACTGTTTCCTTTCTCACCCCCAGCATGCAAACTGGGACCATGGAGGATGCTGAATTGGGAAAGGATACAGTGGCTGCTTTATGCATTTTGTTTCTAAGTTTTCATGGGGACTCTCCCAAGTTTACACTGAATTTGTAAAATTGCATGACTGGGAAGGTGTCTTTGGACAACATTTGAATAAAACTCCCAGCTACTTTGATCTTTAAGTTCATGCAGGGCCCTCTGCTGATTTACAGAACAAAGATCTTTAGACAGAAGAGATGACTTCTGTAAACTGTTACGTAGAAATGACACACCTACTGCTCGCATGATGGCCTGTATCACGTTTAATGCTCTTTTCCCCTAACTTTATATCAGCATCTTGGTGAAAAACGAGCTTTTTGCCTCACGTGGTTGCTTGGACACAAGGGGGAAAGATGGAGGAGAAGAACAACCAGAAGCAACATCGCAAGAAACACAGCGGGCCCAAGGCTGGCAAGAAAAAGAAGCGCCATTTGAAAGATTTAGGAATTGAAGATGAAGAGGATGCCAGGAAGAGAAACCCCAAGGCTTTTGCGGTCCAGTCTGCAGTGCGCATGGCCAGATCGTTCCACAGGTGGCTTCACAACTAGATTGGCTCTGCTAACCATATTGCCATGATTGGCTCCTGTGGGGATGGGATGGCAAAGGGGGTTATAGCAAATAAGATCCGTTTAGGGTGTTGTTTTTTTTTGTAAGAATAAAGGCAGGATACAAATAAATATAAATAAATAAATACCCTCAGTTGAGGACAAAGCATATGTTTTTGGGCAAGCTTATAGTTTGCCATGCTTTACATCACAATGAGAGAAATTAATTAAATTGGGTAGATGAAGGCTTTCGATACAGGTGGATGCTCTCTCGATGTAAGTTTGAGGCGTATCCCACTGATTCCCCACAGTGTGCAGGACCCCGAGGATACATCCTATAATTTGGGGTGGAATGTGACCAGACCCCAAGCTTATTAGATGAAGTGAACTTTTCTCCTGCCTGACTAAAGGATGGGATTGAAGAAAAAGCTAACCCACTGAGCTAAACAAATCAGGTTAGGGGTTTTTTTTTGTGTGTATTTGTTTCTGCATTTCTCCATTCTTTTTTTTAAAAAAAATAAGATTCATTTGAACGGCAACTTATTGCTGAAACTTTGCAGTCTAAGAGTAAGAGCCTCAGTTTTTCCTCCCAGCTCCCTATTTGTCATGGAATCTTAACTATCAGTATTAAAACACTGTAAAACGAATCAGCCCTTCTTTTCAAATTTGGATTTTCAAATGAGAGTACGTACTGTATTCATTGCGTGTGAAAATTTCTGGAAACCACTCTTGGTCCTAGTAATAAACCCGGACCTACTACAAGTAGTTCATGACTGAACAACAGTTTGTTTAGTGACTGTTGGAAATGACAAGGGCGTTGGAAAAAGCGACCTATGACTTTTTCACAATGGCAGCATCCCCACGGTCACGTGGTCAAAATTCAGACGCTTGGCTACTGACTCGTATTTATGACGGTCGCAGGAGTCCTGGGGTCACGCGATCCCCTTTTGCGGCCTTCTGACAAGCCAAGTCAAAGGGGAAGCCAGGTTGACTTAACAAACCATGTTAGTAACTCAACGGCTGCAGTGATTCACTTAAGGAAGGCAAAAGTCACTTAAGAAAGGTCTCGTTTAGCCACGGAAATGGGCTCTGTCTTACCTCTGAATGTAGCCAGTATAATCCTGCTTGAGCAGGAGGCTGGACTAGAAGACCTCCAAGGTCCCTTCCAGCTCTATTCTGTTCTAATTTTAATCGAAGGTTTTTTTGTTTTGAACTCGCCTGCAATTCTCGTTCTGAAAACAGGACCCAGGATTTGAAAACCAAAAAACATCACATTCCGGTGGTCGACCGGACTCCCTTGGAGCCCCCTCCAGTGGTGGTGGTCGTGGTGGGCCCTCCCAAGGTTGGGAAAAGCACCTTGATAAGATGCCTCATTAAGAATTTCACAAGGCAGAAGTTAGTCGACATTCAAGGCCCTGTAACCATTGTGTCAGGTAAAAAAAAATAAAGAGCCATCTTGCACATAACCAGTTTTTTTTAAAAAAAATACTAGATTGCAATTGGAAAAAAAACCCCCACATCTTTGTATTTTTAACCAAGTCTAACAATCTTCCTTGTTCTGTTTCTCGCCTTTGGTGGGCAGGTAAAAAACGTCGGCTAACCATAATTGAATGTGAGTGCGACATCAACGTGATGATTGATCTTGCCAAAGTTGCCGATCTGGTAAGTTTTATGTGGTCTGTAACGAGACAGAGAGAGGCTTCCTCAAAATAAAAATTACGCTAACTAGCATCGTTAACTAGCAGTTAGCTATCAGTTAACCACAGTTCGTTCGGTGGCTGTTTGAAGTGACAAAGGCACTGAAAAAAGTGACTTGTAATCGTGTTTAAATGTACATTCATCAGCATCCATTAAAATGAGATGTCTGTTGAAAGCCAGAACACAATCATTGATTTTAATAGCTAGGAAAGTCCGATAGAGTAAGGCCAGATTATTACTTAAGTCAGGTGTCTTCAATCTTGGCCACTTTATTTATTTATTTATTTATTTATTTATTTATTTATTTATTTATTTATTTATTTATTTATTTATTTATTTATTTATTTATTTAATAAAAAATTTTATTGATTTTTATAATTAAACAACAAATAACAATATGATGCATTTACATACACAAGCAGAAAAAACAAAAATAGTCCAAGTCAATACATTGTCGGAAACGCTCGGCAGTCCCCGCCTTGCCTCCACCCTCATCCACTTTCCTATCCTTCCTCCTTTCCACCTATCTACGTCCCATCTCCTTTCTAACCACCTCCTCGAGTGCAATTTGGGATACCAGCCGAGCATCTCCTCTTATCAATACAATTATTATTTACCTATAACATGTAAATACATCAATTTTTATAATTCCCCTAATCCCCTTCCCCCCCTGGACTTCCCGGAACCAAATACAGGATTAAAACACATCCCATTCCATATCTAAATTACAATTTAACTAAACAAACATAATACAATCAATATATACCTACTTTAACTCTAATAAAGCAATAAGTAAAAACAATATATCTACTCAAAAACTATATGATATTTATTCAATCTTGGCCACTTTATGACTTGTGGACTTCAACTCCCAGAATTCCTCAGCTGGCTGAGGAATTCTGGGAGTTGAAGTCCATAAGTCATTAAGTTGGCAAGGTTGGAAACCCCCTGATCCAAGTGAATTTTCCTTTTGAGAAGAGGAACACACTGAGAACAGATTTCATAAACAGATCTATGCTGCTGATCCTTTTTTTGGTCTAAGGAACGTTATGCAAAGCACCCAAAAAATGGTACGTAGGAAGCAGAATAAATTAAAGATGGGAGAGAGAAAAAAGGGAATCTAATTGAAGTTCTGCCAGTGCATTAAATTGATAAGCGCACGAAAGTTGACCTTTAGCAGTAGTTACTACCTGTTTTGGCATGTTTTAATAAGGTTTTTTTTTTTTTTTTTTTTAAAGGGCAGTAGTTTGGTGTTTTTTTTTTCCCCAAGATTTTTTTTTTCTTTTTTCAATTTCTCTCTCAGGCTTTGATGCTCATCGACGCCAGTTTTGGATTTGAAATGGAAACCTTTGAATTCCTGAACATCTGCCAGGTCCACGGTTTCCCCAAAATCATGGGCGTTCTGACCCACCTGGATAGCTTCAAAAACAACAAGCAGCTCAAGAAGACCAAAAAGAGATTAAAGCACCGGTTCTGGACCGAGGTCTACCAGGTACGATGTGCGTCGACCTGCCTTAAATGGGCCGGGGAGAAATGTATCGAAAATGAAAGAAAACCAAGTGGGGTGGTGACTTTATAATCCCATTTAAAACCAGAGATTTAACAAATGTACGTGGCAAGAAGAAGCTGCCTATTCTGCCATCTGCATAGTTGAGGTACCATTTTATTTATCTGGGGTGGTAGTGTCATTTTATTTCTCCCTGGTGTCAGCTCTGCCTGGGGCCTCACAGGCATCCTGCCATCAAAAGAAGTGGGGAGGGAAGGATGAAAGGGCAATGACGCTTTGTGTCTACGTGATAGGAAATCGGGACGGTGCGATAAAGGACCAGGGCAGCCGGATCCTGTTTGTACCAACATCCCACAGCCAGGATCTCCCCCAAACTTCTTAAGAGATCTCAAAACATCCTGGCAAGCTCTGGTTGGCTGGAAACGGACTGGTCCCTGGCAGGGGAAGGGATGGGCTGAGGGCAAACCTACACCTTATTTTTGGATCTATTTGTTGTGATTCCGTGCCAGCCTGTGCTCCCGGCAGCTGAGTCCAGGGAATCAGAGGAGGAGGAGGGGCCTGGAGAGCTATCAGAGTCTGAGGAAGGCTCTGATGAGCTCCAGGACTTACAATCTGATGAAGAGCCTGGCCCCTCCACTCGTGCTCAGGCTGAGACCCAGCTGTGCTGGGAAGGTGAGTCGGACTCGGAGGAAGCACAGCTGGAAGACCTCAGAGACGCTCGTAAACGTAGACAGGTCACACGAGTAGGACAGAGGGAGGCAATGAGGCGACTCCAAGGGAGGAGGAGAAGGCATTGAGAAGCCACGTCTTGGCTGCATAATAAAAAGGAAATGTGTGGGCGGTGCTGGTTGCTGAAGGCAACCGATTGCAAAGGGCTCAAGTTTCATGGAATCAGATTCTGTTTTCCTTGCCTGTGAACAATTCTCCGTTTGAACTGTGCTCTGCCTTTAAACAGAGCACAATTCTCCGTTTGCATCGTGTTTTGTTTGCCTTTGCTTTTGGGACATTTTGCAGGTCTGCACCTAAATTAATAAAAGGGGTTTGTTTTTCCTGCATTTCCAGCCTACTTGTTAAAAGAGGGGTTTGTCCTTGTGAATGAACAAGGACTCACGTAGGCTGGAAGGATGAAAGGGCAATGAAGGGTTGTGTCTATGTGATAGGAAATCGGGACGGTGCGGGTAGGAATGACGGGTGAAAAAAGACCAGGGCAGACGGATATTGTTTGTACCAGCATCCCACAGCCAGGATCACCCCCAAACTTCTTAAGAGATCTCAAAACATCCTGGGGAGCTCTGGTTGGCTGGAAACGGACTGGTCCCCGCCCGGGGGAAGGGATGGGCTGGGGGCAAACCTCCACCTTATTTTTGTATCTATCAAACACGGTAAATTTCAGAGCTGGCTCGACTTTACGGCAGCCAACATCCCTAGTAAAAGAATTTCGAATTTCCACGTTACCCAACCGAGTTTTTAACAGGCGGTTAAAACTAATCCTGTATTCAAGGAAAGAAGTACCATTCTGGATAAATAAATAAAAAAAACAATAGTTGAGGGTGGTGTATGGCTTAAATTGCAACTTGAGCGTACGTGCGTTCTATGTATTCATTTAATTTTTAAATTCAGGGTGCCAAATTATTCTACCTTTCCGGGATGGTGCACGGAGACTATCAAAAGCAGGAAGTCCACAACCTGGGGCGGTTTATTTCTGTGATGAAATTCCGCCCCCTGACTTGGCAGACAACTCATCCCTACATCTTGGCGGACAGGTGATTTATTTTTGGATTCCCCTTCATCTTCCTGGACCTCCTTCCCTCCTTTCCTTGACCTTCCTTCCTCTCTCCTCCTTCCCTTCCTTGGCCCTCTTTGACCTCCCTGCCTTCCTTGACCTTTCTTCCTTGACCTCCCTCCCTCCCTCCCTTTCCTTGACTTCTCTCCCTTCCTTCCTCCATTCCTTGATGTTCCTCTCTTCCTTCCCCCCTTGGCCTCCCTCCCTCTTTCCCTCCCTCCCTTCCTTCCTTGCCTTCTCTCCCTTTCTTCCTCCGTTCCTTGATGTTCCTCCCTCCCTTCCTTGCCTTCTCTCCCTTCCTTGGCCTCCCTCCCTCCCTTCCTTGATGTCCCTCCCTTCCTTCCTTCCTTCACCTCCCTCTTTCCTTGATTTCACTCCTTGACCTTTCTTCCTTGACCTTCTTTCCCTCCCTCCCTTGATCTTCCTCCCTCCTTTTCTTCCCTCCTTCCTTCCTTGATCTCCCCTTCCTTCCTTGACCTTCCTTCATTCCTCCCTTCTTTGACCTTCCTCCCTCCCTTGATCTTCCTTCCTCCCTTGATGTCCCTCCCTCCCTTTCTTGACCTCCCTCCTTCCTTGATTTCCCTCCTTCCCTCCCTTGACCTTCCTTCCTTGACCTCCCTACCTTGATCTCCCCTTCCTCCCTTGATCTTCCTCCCTTCCTTGACCTTTCTCCCTTCCTTATCCCTCCTCCCTCCCTCCCTCCCTCCTTCCCTCCTTTGCTAATAGCATGAAAGTAGTTAAACATGATTCCCATCCTAGGGTCTAGCACAGTGGTTCTCAACCTTTTTAATGCCGCGACCCCAACCGGTCGTAAGTCGAGGACTAAACCGGTCGTAAGTCGAGGACTACCCAACCGGTCGTAAGTCGAGGACTTTCCCTGCCCGGGAGCGCCGCGCATGCGTGGTTCCGCCCCCTGCGCCGGCTGAGGCGTAGCTGGCAAACGGCAGAGACGGAGCAGGCCGACCACCAGCTGGCCCAGCCCAAGGGAGGTAAGGCACCCACCGGAAAAGGGAAAAAAAAATGGCGGACAAAAAAAATGGCGGACAGCCTTGCTTGGCGACCCCGTGAAATGGTCGATCGACCCCAAATGGGGTCCCGACCCACAGGTTGAGAACCACTGCGCTAGCAGCTTTAGAGGATTTGGGTAAATCTAGATGAGCCTCAGGAAAAGTTCACTTTGGTGATAGAATCCTATAGCAAAATATTCAGAGTTTCAGGGAGTTTGAGGGAGGCTAACGCATCAGGAATGGTGCAGTGTTATTACTTACATGCCCCCTATCTCACCCAACAGGACAGCTATCGCCCCAGATTAGCGTACACAGAATGTTTTCCATCTCCTCCTGAACGTTCTCACCCTGATATTCTTATGTTCTGCAGGATGGAAGATTTGACAAACCCAGAGCTTATCAGGGTTAATCCGAAGTGTGACCGGAAAGTTTCCCTTTATGGTTATCTGAGAGGAGCCCACTTGAAAAACAAAAGCCAAATACACATGGCAGGTGGGATAGAATCGAAGGTGTTTCTGTTCTACTCTATTTTGTCTACACACCACCGCGAAGTATTTTTTAAGAGTCTTCCTCACTGCCTGGGGAGAATGTGAAGAGTCAGGGCTTTTCAACCAGGGGTACGGGTACCACCTGTGGTACATTGGCACCTGGCAGGTAGTACGCGACCATCCTAGAAAAGTGGTAGCAGGGGAGGGGAATGAGCTGAACCGGTGGCAGCACCGCACAAGCCTGAGCGAGAGATGGCTGGAGCTACAGGGCTGTCAGGGCTCAGCGGAAGCGCCAGGATCAGTGTCACTTTCCAGCTGATTGGCACTTCGGGGCTGTCAGGGCTCAGTGGAAGCGCCAGGATCAGTGCCAGGCTCCAGCTGGAGCTCGGCGCTGATCCTGGCACTTCTGCTGAGCCCAGAAAAAGCACCAATCAGCTGGAATGTTGCAGCCTCTCCAGGGTCTTGTGATTTACATTCAGATGCTTGGCAACCGATTCATATTTGTGACGGTCACAGTGTCCCAGGGTCATGTGAAGCGACCAAAACCTGCTGCAACCACCCAGCAGATGGGGGGAATAAAGACCAAACACCCCCCACCCCACCCCCGTTGCCAATCCTCAACAGAAATGCTCACAACAATGAAAACCTCAGACAGGAGGAAGAGTGCCGCCGGGCGGGCAGGCAGGTGTCTTGCTCGGCTGTGGCTTGGGGGGCCCTTTTTTCAGTACCATTGTAACTTCGAACAGTCACTAAGCGAACTGTTGTAAGTCGAGGACTGCCTGTACTTTATCACTTTTTTCTTTTTTGGGGAGGGGGCTCATCAGGTTTTTGACACCTTGCTAGGTGACTGGCGGTACTCGGATATTGCCATATCCTAAAAGTGGGACAATGGGTGAAAAAGGTTGGAAAGCCCTGCCTTAAATGACTTTAGCTTTGAAAAAGGGGCCGGTGTGGAAAACCGGAAAGTTTGACAAGGATTTGGAAGAAGGACTTAGAGCCTAATATATCGACGGAATGCCTCTTTGCGGTTCTTTAAAGCAGCCCAACTATTTCCAGCCTTCCACCCAAGCCTGCAAAAAAACAAAAAAAGTTGTTGTTGCAACTCTTATGTATAAGAGTTGCATAAAACAGTGTCTTTCATCCTCAGCGGCTTTAAAGTATGTGAACTTCAGCTCCCAGCGTCGCTGTTATGAGATAGGCCGCCAGGCAAATTAAACGATATCCATAAATCTGTTTTGCATGTTTAGATCTCCATCAGAGTTATTCATGTATAAAAGGCAAAGCAGATGACAATGATAACACTTTTACAAGTGTGCCTGTATGTATCTCAACAGATTAATGAAATTGAGAGACAGGATAGAGAATGTTGGTAGCAATAGCACTTAGACTTACATACCGCTTCATAGTGCTTCATAGCTCTCTCTAAGTGGTTTACAAAGTCAGCCTATTGCTCCAACAATCTGGATCCTCATTTTACTGACCATGGAAGGAAGGAAGGAAGGAAGGAAGGAAGGAGTGAGTAGCAGTAGCACTTAGACTTATATACCGCTTTGTAGTGCTTTATAGCTCTCTCTAAGTGGTTTACAAAGTCAGCCTATTGCCCCCAACAATCTGGGTCCATATTTTACTGACCATGGAAGGAAGGAAGGAAGGAAGGAAGGAAGGAAGGAAGGAAGGAAGGAGTAGCCAATAGCACGTAGACTTATATACTGCTTCACAGTGCTTTACAGCCCTCTCTAAACGGTTTACAAAGTCAGCCTCTTGCCCCCAACAATCTGGGTCCTCATTTTTACCGACCTCGGAAGGCTGAGTCAAATCTTGAGATGGTCAGGATCGAACTGCTAACAGTGGGCAGAGTCAGCCTGCAATACGGCATTGTAGCCACCGCGCCGCCCTGACTCGACGTAGCAGGAAGCCAAGTGTTAAGAATTAAACCCCTTTGAATCAGCAATCGCTTTCTTCGCTCCAGCGATAAATCTAAAGTGTTACGTTGCGTCCTTTGAATCCATGTAAGATTGTGTTGATGTCATCTCTGCCTTCGTCGCTTCGAGGCCCATGCGGTGCTGTTGACTCTCTTCCCCCATCAGGTGTCGGGGACTTCACGGTGAGCGATGTCAGCTTCCTGCCAGATCCCTGTGCTCTTCCTGAGCATCAGAAGAAACGAGGCTTAAACGAGAAGGAGAAGCTGATCTACGCCCCCCTCTCAGGGGTTGGGGGCTTGGTGTACGACAAAGATGCCGTGTATATTGACCTCGGGGGAAGCCACTCCCATCGACAGAGGGAGGTATGAGACTCTGGGCTTCATTCCCTGTTTATTCCTTATTGTTCATTGCCCAGTTAAGAAGAATACAAAAATCTGGTGCATTTCATTAGAAAAACAAACACATAAAAAAGCCTACTCAGTAAGTATTCAGAAATAACCGGCGGTTCCCCCCCCCCCCGCATCCACACTCCCTCAACCTTCCTACCTACTTCCCTCTTCCTTCCTCCCCCTCTTAACCACGACCTCTCCTCTTTCCTCCTTTCCAACTATCCTACACATCCCATCACCTTCTTTTCCACCACCTCGGATGCAGTTTAGGGGTACTAGCCGATCATCTCCTCTTCTTAAAGACAAACATTTACGTTATATTTATAAATACACCAAATTTTATATAATTCTACCCCTTCATCCCCTTCCCCCCTCCCCACCCCCGGACTTCCCAGAACTGAGTACAGGGATAAATACATAACATCCCAAGTCTAAAATAAGCTATCCATTCATAATACAAACAAAATTAACATACTTTAACTCTAACATACAATAATAAACTTATTTTATATATATATATATATATATATATATATATATATATATATATATATATATTATATTATATTATATT